TGACAGGTACTGTCCTAGTGCAACTCCCCCTCCCCACTGGGGGCAGGGTAGGAAGTTGTGGGGAGGGTTTTCAATAAGACAGTACCTGTAAGAAATTTAAGCAGGGGATGATGGAATGCAGGGGCAGGAGGCTCAGGGCAGGGGGTTGGGAAGTGTGGGGGGGCTCAGGGTAGTAGTGGAGGTCAGGAGTCAGGCAGGAAATGGGGAGCTCAGGGCTGGGGGGTATTCAGGACGGGATTGGGTGTGTGTGCAGGGAGCTTGAGTCTGGGAGTGCAGCCATCATGCTTCCTGGAAGCTCTGGGGCTGGTTGGGGCGGTGGGGCTTGCACTGCCTGACCTCCTGAGCATTGGGGCTAGAGCAGGCATGTCCAAAGTCCGGCCCGCGGGCCAAATGCGGCCCGCGGTCGGATTTAATACGGCCCCCCACTTCTCCCGGCTCCCCAGTGCATTTTTTAACTGGCGCGCGCAGCGCGCCGCTTCGGGCCGCCGCCGCCGCGGTCCCAAACCCTGCCCCTGCACTCCGCTTTGGGGCTGAGAGTGCGGGGACAGCCCCCGCTTCCTCCCCCTCTCCTGGCTCCCCGGTGCTCCTCTGAACTGGCGCCGCTTCGATTTAATACGGCCCCCCACTTCTCCCGGCTCCCCAGTGCATTTTTTAACTGGCGCGCGCAGCGCGCCGCTTCGGGCCGCCGCCGCCGCGGTCCCAAACCCTGCCCCTGCACTCCGCTTTGGGGCTGAGAGTGCGGGGACAGCCCCCGCTTCCTCCCCCTCTCCTGGCTCCCCGGTGCTCCTCTGAACTGGCGCCGCTTCCGGCCGCGCCGCCGCCGTCCATGGCGGCCGCTGCCCTAAAGTCCACCATGTAGGGCACGTCCACAGCCCTGCTCCCCTGCTTGGCTACGGGTTCGCCCTGCCCCCGGGCCGCCGTGAGGCCAGCGTGCCCTGCGCTCTCCGCCCGCCTCTGACCCTGCAAGCCCTCTACCTTGGGGCTGAGAGTGCAGTGACGGACTCCGCAGCTGCTGAGATCAGGGACGGACTCCGCAGCTGCTCAAGCTCAGTATCTGTGATTGGCCCTGTGCACTGTCAGCTTCCTGGCGGGCTCAGGCACGTGGAGCTGCGAACATTAGAGACTTCGCCACAAACGGGCTCCGGCACGTGGAGCTCATCATTAGAGACTTCGCCACAAACAGCCACAAAGGCAAGAGAATTCTTGTTGGGCAGTGTATTAGTGCAGTGTATTACTTGGGCAGTGTATTAAACCTCTGGCACTGCGCTCACATGATCCCTTCCCCTTCTGGTCAATTTAAAAAAATGGCGACTGTAAATAAGAGAAGGAAAGTTGACAGTGAGGGCCGCCGCTTCCAGGACAGGTGGAAAGTGGAATATTTCTTCACTGAAATAGAGAATCACTGTGTTTGTCTGATATGCCAAGAGACTGTGGCTGTTTATAAGGAATTTAATGTCAAGAGACACTACCAGTCGAGACATAGCACATACGACAAGCTTACAGGGCACGACCGCAGTGAAAAGTTGAAGCAACTTGAAGCTGTTTTAATGTCACAACAGAAATTTTTCATAAGAGCCCGTGAGTCAAATGAAAATGCCACAAGGGCGAGCTATGAGGTGGCAACGTTAATTGCTAAAAATTGCAAATCTTTTGCTGAGGGTGACTTTATCAAAGAATGCGTTATGAAAATGGTTGAGAATATCTGTCCCGAGAAGAAGCAAGAGTTTGCCAACATTTGCCTGGCTCGTAACACTGTAGCACGGAGAATTGAAGAGATTTCATCAGATATTAAGAGACAGTTGACATCCAAAGGAGTGGATTTTGACTTCTTTTCAATAGCCTGTGATGAAAGCACGGACCTATCTGACACAGCTCAGTTGCTGATTTTTATGAGAGGGGTGGACGATGAAATGAATGTGACTGAAGAGCTACTTGACCTCCAGAGCCTTACGGACCAAACAAGAGGAAAAGATTTATTTGTTTCTGTTAGTTCCGCCATAGATGACATGAAACTGCCTTGGAACAAAGTTACTGGGATTATTACTGATGGGGCACCTGCCATGGTTGGTGAACGAAGTGGATTATCAACCCTAATCTGTAACAAGGTGATCGAAGAAGGAGGCAAAGCTATTAAACTCCATTGTATCATTCATCAACAAGTTCTCTGTGCTAAACATCTCAAATATGATCATGTTATGAAACCGGTGCTAAAGACTATTAATTTTATTCGCTCTAAAGCCCTGTGCCACCGCCAGTTTAAACAGTTTCTACTGGACATCCAGGCTGAATACGAAGATGTTTTATATCACAACGATGTAAGATGGCTCAGTCGGGGGTCTGCACTGCAGCGTTTCTACTCTCTCAGAAAGGAAATCGGAGAATTCTTGGAAACAAAGGGACAACCAATGCGAGAACTATCTGATCCTATTTGGCTGGCTGATTTGGGGTTTCTAGTTGACATAACAAAGCATCTGAATGTACTGAACACGAGTCTTCAGGGGAAAGATGCAGCGGTGAACCAGCTTTATTCACACCTCAAAGCCTTTGGGACAAAGCTGCAACTTTTCATAAGGCAGTTGTCACAAACACAGCCCAATACCATACATTTTTCAGCGTTGCAGGAAATAATGAACAGTTTTCCACAGGACAATATCAGTGCGCAAACGAGCAGGTATGCAGCAGACATTGCATCTCTGGCTGGGGAGTTTAAACGGCGCTTTCAGGACTTTGCAGCTATTGAAAAGGAGATCAGCCTTTTCTCCTCTCCATTCTCTGTTGACCCCGATGATGCTCCAGATCAGCTGCAGCTCGAGCTCATTGAGCTGCATTGTGACAGCGAGTTACGCAGTCGTCACCAACAGCTCTCTCTTGTGAACTTTTACCGCCAACTGGATAAGAGCCGGTTTCAAGAGATTCGAACATTGGCTAAGAAAATGCTGAGCTTGTTTGGCTCAACATATATGTGTGAGAAGACATTCTCTGCTATGAACTTTAACAAGAACCGCGTGAGGACAAGACTAAGTGACTCTCACCTGCGTGACATTTTGCGCATCAAAACCACTGCCTTTGAACCAGACCTAGCCTATGTACTGCAGTCCAGATCTCAGTTTCACCCTTCACATTAGTTTAGGCAAGTTTTTTTTTCAATTGAGATGAATACATTGTAAAATCTCAGTTAATGTCAGTTGGTCTAAATCAGTTATAAATATATTTGGACACAACATGTATAGTTGGTGTTATGTCGTTTGCCGTTTGCAATAAACTTTGCATAAAATAGTTAATTTGCATTTAATTTTAATGGTTCAAAGAATGTCAGGCAAAATGGTCGGCCTTCACGCATGTTCACTTCATCAAATCTGGCCCTCTTTGAAAAAAGTTTGGACACCCCTGGGCTAGAGCATCTAGGGACCCCACCCCAGCCAGTCAGTCTCATACACTCCAGCTTACTTTCACCTTTGCCTCAAATAATCCCTTCCCTCTCCACAACAGTCCTAAGCAACTTGTCCTGGTCTTCAGGTCTCTGCATAAGCTCCTGCCTACCTTTATGCTCCATTAACTCTTCTCCCCATTGCTGCTCTAAATCCTTTGACTTCAGTTTGCTTCTTATGTGCTCTTGTTAACGCTCCATGTGCAGCAAACAGCACTGCATGACTTGTAATAAATAAATGTGCCAATTACTGTAAGCTGTCCTAATATAGTGTCTTCTGTTTTCTGTGGTTTAGTTAATTGTGTTTAAGCATGACCTTTTCTGTGGTTTAGTTAATTGTGTTTAAGCATGACCAATACTGTGTATTTTGGTGAGGAACGTAAGCTCTTTGGTGAGAGTGGCTGCACTGAATTTTTTTATTTTCTCTGCTCACTTTAACACTGAGAGGAGATGAAAAGAAAATTATAGCACTGGGTCTCCCTCTTTCATTTTTATCTTCACCCCCATCTAACGCTAAGGGCAGCAACTTTCATCACCACTATCAATACTCTCCCTTTTCATCCCATCCCAGAGACCCAGTTGGCCTTCAATCATGTAATGCCCAGAACATGACAGAACTTGGTGCTCCCTAAAATTTAGCAATTGGAGATTAATATGGAGGGTCCATTGTCCTGTTGTAAGAATGAGAGTCTTGAAGTCAACAGGTCTGGGTTCTACTGTTGATTTACTGTGACTCAGGGCAAGTAATTATGGCACAGAACTATGGGTGCTGAAAATCAGGCCATTCACATCTCATTTCTTCAGCCATAAAATAGGAATACTACTAACCAGCCTATATATTGTTGTTTCTCAAGTGCTCTGAAAGCCTTCAGATAAAAGATGCTATCAAAGAGTGGTCATAATATTAAAAAATTATTGCAGTGATAGCACTTTCATTTTGAATATTTATTGGTCTTTTTCCAGGATAGCCCAAAATTATTTCTAAACCTCTTTCTAGAAAGCAGAATCTAGTGATCTAGAGCAGTATTTCTCAACCTTTTTTTTTTATAAAGTAACCCTTTAAAAAAAAATATATAAGTACCCCCAGTACCTACAGTTTTCAGACACACAATTTTTTTTTCTATGGTTCAACACATTTGTTTAAACAACATAATTGTAGCCGGGCAGGCGATGACATTTTTTAGTATAAAAAGTACAAAAATAATAAAGTGCTGTAAAACTTAAAACAAAAATTCAGTTTTCTCCAAATGTTAGTTGTGTTGACAAACTCCCCAGACTTCTTTCGAGTACCCATAAGGGTACTCATACCACTGGTTGAGAAACACTGATCTAGAGTCAAAGGAAGCTCTAATCCCCTTCATTTCAATTTATTAATTTGAGGGCAAGTTGAAAAGAGAGCTGCTGAAAGGTTCCCAATGTATATAATAGAAAGTAATAACAAGGGGGAGAGGTGGAAGGAAACAAAAGGCAAGAAAGGGGTGGCAGAAGAGAGGGGCTGTAACAATTGCAACAGAGTAAAAGTGGAAGGAGTGAAACTTAAAGCTATGATAATTTATTATTGTAAACTTTCTAGATGAAAACTTTTCCATTCCTCATGAAAAAAGAGGGATTCTTGGAATGGCCAACAAGGGACGTCACAGCAATGGTTCGCAGTTTTATATCACACTCCAGCCAGCTCCTTATTTGGATAAAAAATATGTGGCTTTTGGGTACGTAAAATATAGATATATAATTTTTAAATGTTTAAAAAAATCTCCTAACTATATAAGACACCATTAACAAGATAGAGATTCTGTGCTGCATCTCTGAGAGGCACAGCATAAAAATCACAGCTCAGGGCTGGAGGGTTTTAGCCACCTTTTCACCCTCCCTGATCTAAACACCACCAATGGCTGGAGAGGCTCCTGGTGAAATGTAAGTCAACTCTGGGGCCCTGTCTATGTCCAGGTCTACACAGTTGACTTTTGCCAGCATAGCCATGTTTTGCAGGAGCAAGATGATTTCTGACTGACATAGCTGAAATAAGGATGTTAACGACAAGTCGATTCTCCCCCCCACCCTCGCCCTTGCTGCCTCTATCAGACATAGGCAGCAAAGGGGGAGGTAAGATGGGATACTTCAAAGAGACCATGCTTCACAGCTGAGCTCGGGATCAGCTGTGCGGCATTGCCACTTTGAAACACGGAGGCGGTGCAGTGCTGCCCCTTTGAAATGCCGCATGAAGCCCAGGGTCAGCTGGCTTGGGCTTCACGTGGCATTTCAAATCAGCAACACAACATGGAGCCCAGGGTCAGCAGGGGACTCTGAGTCACTCGCTGACCCTGGGCTCCATGAGGGCGCTTTCACTTTGAAATGCACAAAAGCCCCCGCTGGGAACTCTTGTACATTTCAAAGCTGGCACCCGCATGCAGCCCGGAGTCAGCGGGACTTCCTGCTGGCCCTGATTCCTGCTTTGAAATGTACAAGAGGGGGCTCTTGTACATTTCAAAGGAGGAATGCAGAAGTGCCTATTGACTAGTCGAGTAGTCGATGGAAATTCCGACTACCTGACTAGTAAATTAACTGATATTTAACATCCTTAAGCTGAACTAGCAAAAAATCTATAGTACAGACAGTTATGCATGCTAAACTGTACTCTTATTGGTATAGTGTATTTCACTCAGGCAGTCTGGAATAAGCTATAATGGAAAAAGCATAGTTTTGCCATTATAAGCTATATTACAACTAAATGCACTTTGTCAGTACAGCATACTGGTATAGTTACACTGGCAAAGAGCTCCTAACATAGACCTGACCTAAAAAAAAAAGCAGCCCCAGGGTAGTGCACTGCAATCTTGTAATTTACATTAGAGATTGCAAAGATGTCTTGGGAAAGCAACTTATAGCTACCTCTGCATTGCTTGTGGCAGGTAAATCCTTCCCCAGCCGGAATTAGGAGTGAAATCCTGGCCCCATTGCATATTGCAGTTAAGCAGTTTAGAAATAAAAAGATTGCAAATTGTTGTATTGGTTTCAGATTCAGATTAATTAAGAAGAAAAGTAACCTAGGATTTCAAAAACTGTGTGTGTGTCACGCACTAAGCCATTTAAATAAATGCAGAACAATTTCTGATAATATTCCTCTTGACCTTTTTCTTCTCAAAATGGAAAAGTATTAGTTACGTGGACACTTATAGCCACAAAATTCTGGAAAGATGGCTGCAGTGTTTATTATTTTGAATAATTATATTTACAGATACATCAAGTTGTAGTATTTTTCTATCTCATAAAATGCTTAATGTGCGATATTTTCAAAGCAGCTAGGATGTTAGTCTGCTGTGAACAATCCTATAAAGAAAAGAACCTATAAGACATAAACCCTTTATTTTAAGACACAGCCATATTTAGAAAACTACAGTTATGTTTTAATAGCCTAATAGAAGGAATTCAGGGTTTCTAAATGACTTGCTCTGACCCACTGACAGGCACTGAAGGTAGGTAAAACAATTGTATAGGTGGAGCCTCTCTAGTCCGGCACTCTCTGGTCCGGCAACATCCGTGGTCTGGCATGATTTTAGTTAGCCAAATGTCCACTTATCAGGGGTGTGGTCAAGTTACAGGACCCTGGGGTCCTGTAAAGTTTATAGCCACCAGTCCTGGCTCTCAGTGTTCTGTGTTGTTATTTAGCTCTAAATTACCCCTAAAGAGACCAGCAAGCAGTGGAAGTGCTAATAATGCATAAATTTTATGCTTTATCCACTTATTTCCTAGTGCCAATACAGTAAAATTGTGTAACAACACTAACACTTTGTTATGGAGAGACCTGATAAATCTTAGCTAGTCATAGGCTTATATAGGGTGTATCAGAACAGTCATACATTATTAAGCAGCATTGCAAGTGTTGTTCCGTTTGTCTCAGTGAAATAAAAAATAGAGACCCACTCAGTACATTATTGACCTCTCAGGTTCGGAAAATTCTCTGGTTTGGCACCAGTTAGTTTCTAAGGGTGTAATACTAGAGAAGTATAACCTGAAGTTGCTACTAAATTATAGTTTCCTGATTTTCAAATTGTTACCGCGTATTTTCCAGATCTTCAACCCATATGTACCATTTATATGTCTATGAAGTCCGACATTTTTGTTACAAGTTATGTTAAATGTGCATAATTTATTGGAAAATGAGTATCATGGAACCCAAATAGTCAAATAGATTACTAAAACTGTAGAATTTAGGACAGTGATCAGATAATCATAATTATATTGATTTTATATATAATTTCTCTTCTTACTGTAGACAGCTAATTGAAGGTACAGAAGTTCTTCAGAAACTAGAAGATGTATCTACGTACAATGAAAGGCCTGTAGTAGAATGTAAAATTATTAACTGCGGTGTTATTGTGCCTTGATTACAAGCCAATTTCCCTTCCTACAGTAATGTATAACAATGTATATATTTTCTGACTGGCCTTTTATAGATTTAAGGCTTTTTAAAAAATCTAAAATAGCATTTTTATATATCTAAACTTTACCGCTTGATTTGTTTTTTAATATATCCATGGCTTGTTCACACACAAATTCTTACATGAGTATACTAGTGGGCTTGGGAATTTAGCCTGATGCCATTATTAAGATATACAATTATTGTGTTAATGTGGATGTCCAGTGAGCAATTACATTTCTGCAGGCTACACTATAAATAATTCTATTAAATAGAATATCTATTAACATTACTTAATAAATGAAGTCACGATTGATTGTGATACATGTACACAATTATTTACTTTTGGCCCAATTCTGCCATTCTTGAGTCACACTGTCATATCTTACTCCACTGGAAGTAATATTAAAATCAGTGCTTTTGGGGTAAGGTGTAGAAGTCAACATAATAGTGGTACTGGGTGTTCTCTGAACATCAGAGGTCTGATCTCCCTTTTGCCAATATGAACCAAGAGTAACTCCTCTAAAATCAACAGATACACAACAGAATAAAACTAGTGTACAGGCCCTAGACATATATTTAATTATTTTGTTTACAGATTGTATCAATTAAGATATTTTAACACAGAAGAACCCATTAAAATGCACAAATTACTCTAAAACAAGACATTTTTAACTATATGCTACAAGAAATCCATGAGATTTTGCAAAATGAACAGCAATGAGTAAATGTGGATTCAATGAGTGTGGAAATTCCACATAAAGAAGTCAATGTTTATAAATGCTGTAAAAACACTCTCATGTATGACTCATGAGACTAAACATACAACTTGTTGCCAATTGCCATGGTAATAGTTTGATGAAAGATCTTTAAGCATAGCACAGAAGTAGTGACAGCAGATGGTTTCAGCAGAAGCTGGCAAATGGATGGCAAGAGTGTGGAAAAATGAAAAAGCGTCCCAGAATCTCAAGCAAAATAATCCACAACAATTAAAATCTCCTTAATACATCTGCAAATAGCAAAAGAATCTTAAGTTTTATTTTACTCTCCTATGTAAAGCACTCTGAACTTGACAGAGGAAAAGTTCTAAGAGCTAACTATAACACTGACTGTTCTGTGGTAGCATTTGGATTCTGGCATTCAGAACCAATAAGATTTCACACTGTAACTTAACTATATAATTATTATCTTTATTGCTTACTTCTATGGCAACATTGAAATGGACCAGTTAATGAATTTTCTACTTAAAAGAAAAACGACTAGAAAGTTATTTGTTAAAGGGATTTTGTTTCTCTTCAGTAACAAGATATGGCTATTAAGCACATTTTTCCTTTGCAAAACTACATTAATTCCATTAGTAGAAAGTACTCACGGGACTGTCTCACTATGGCTGGCACATTTAAGAGGGAAGTGTTCAGTTCAGCTATCTGTTAATGCCCTCCCACTCCTGATGACTCCTGATAGACGGTACCTCTCCTCTACGAAGATTCAGTTAACAAAGCGTTTCCGGAAAATCATGCCAATCTAGACGCAGCCATTGGGTCATTTCAAGAGGTTTCCTGTCTTAGGTTTCCAAATTTAAAAGGAGTGAATGGTGGGGATGTATTCTGTACATTAGAGTTTTAAAAACATTTATTTGATTGGACTCTCTCGGAATAAGTCATATCGCTGTCACAGCTATGAGCCCTGACCTAGGGATGTCAAGTAGCAATTAATTTACTACTCCAGTAGTCAATGGAATTTCTATCAGATAGCAGCAGCAAGCGAGGAGGGGGAAGCAACTAATAGACTAGCCTGTCAACTAGTCCATTCACATCCCTACCCTGACCCTGCTGACCATGTTGCAAGGCTTTCCCCTTTCCACCCGGAGCTGATGGGTCTGCCGGAGCAGCTCCTTGAAACAATGCTGCTGGGGGTACATAAAGAGGCTGACAGTGGGGCTGCACAACCAGCCTGGGGGGGGGGCTCACTCCCTGCACTGTGGCCAAGAGCCCTGACGTCGCTGACACCCTCGCGCCTGGTTAATGGGCTGA